ACGCGCACCATCCCAATCCTCAATACGCGAACATGCGCAGCCCAATATGAACCAGGACCGGGAAAGGAGAGGGCTGATCGCAACGGCCATGCGCAGACAGCGAACCGCGTTCTCGTAATCCTGACGCGTGAAATAGTAACCACCCAAAGAGCGCATCGCGCGACCAGACGACCCGCGGCTGACCGCCCAGGCCTTTTCAAAGTGGGCCACGGCGTGCTCAGGTTCAAGTTCGCCCAGCAAACACCAGAGCTTCGCCTCGCGTGCCGCATCAAGTACAGCGCGGCGGCCTTCGGAAGTGTTCTTGCTGCGCTCTAGTACGGCGTCTGCAGCGGCCTTTCGCCCGTCAAGAAGGTCGTGCACAAGCGTGAGCGCCGTCTCGCGTTGTTCGATGGACTGATAACATTTGACGGCGTCCTCCCACATCTCGAGGCGCTCAAAGATCTCCAGAGCGCTCTTGATAACGCCGATACTGAGCATACGCGTCGCAAGTTCACGTTGCATCTCCCATTTGCTCGGGAGCGGTATGGAGTGTACGTAGGCGAGACGCTCCTGTATGTCTGAGTCGGCAGTTGGCATCTGATCGACAAGCGCCTGAAGTTGCAGTACGGAGCGCTCGACGGTGCGTGTACGTCCGGACTCGAGCCGCGAGCGCAGGAGAAGCGCCATGGTGTGGACGGACCAGTTGCGAGGGTGGGTGATTACGCGCGATATATATGGTGACATTTGCTCGTGCGTGAGACCGTGCGCTGGGGATGTGTTGCGGACATTCAAGCAAAGGGAGAGCAAGATGCACTGGTCCAAAGGGTGCAACGCAGGTTGATCCGAAGGGTCCAAATGCGAGAGATGCGAGCCCGGAGCAGCGGGGCGGGATGAAGTATACTCTGTTTGCTCGAGCAAAGTATCATCGTTTAGAGCGAACGTCTCGGGCATCTGCGCGGTGCCCTTCGCCTTTTCTGAGCTTGCCTCCCGAGTACGACTCTGCGCGAGAAGTACAAGTTGGCTGAGCTCCGTCTGCTGGAACTTTGTGCGTTTACCGAGAGCGCCCGTCAATTCGTACTGCAGCTCCGTTGCTCTCGCAGCACGAACAAAGTATTCCAACGCGGCGCGATCGTTCCCTTGATAGTGCTCCAGCAGACCTCGCTCGAGCCACAAACGCCCGACGAGATCAGGATCAGATGAGTAAGCCTCGGCGAGAGGCTCGAGGGGCGGAATTGAACCATCTGGCACTGCAGCTGGCTCATCTAGGACTTGCTCGTGCAAGTTCCAAGCCCGAACTTTCCACCAGGCCGCAGATGGCAGATGTTGGAACGGGGACTCGAGAATGAGTTGAGCCAGACGGAGGAAGAACGCAGCCTCGGCCAGATGATAGGCGGGCTCTCCTCCAAGTGAAAGCTCAGCGACAGATTTGGACTGAAGTAGAGGTTCTGATATTCCCTCCAAATGAGATGAAGGAACGGTTAGGACGTCTAGAGGCTTGACGTCTAGATTGGGTCCTGTCCAGTTTGCCTGGATGAATGCGTGCAGAAGAGCGACAGCAGTTATAAGAAGCATAGTTTCAACATCTTTTGAGGTAGTCCTAGGCTTCACGAAGGCGAACCAGGTTCTGAACGGTTTAGTGGGGTTAAGATCGGAGGAGAGTTGGAGTAGAGCGCGAACGCGTTCCGAAGTCAGATGATCGCGAAACTTTCCTTCCACGACGAGCTTCGTCGCAGATATCAGTTCGTCAGATATACCGTCAGCATCCTCAGATCGCCACTCTCCTATCAGCAGCGACCTTTCGAGGCCAGCGAAGGAAGACATCGAGGGCGGAGATGACTTAGAAATCAGTCGTCTCTCCCAAATTTGTGCCCGTCACGTCACGCAGTGACCGCTTTGTCAGAGCTCTTGGTCGGACCGAAGGCCGCCGGCGCAAAGGCGCGAGTCGTTCTGCCGAGTTACAACCATCATGCCCAGGAGCAGGACAGCCTGGTACGCCGGCTAGTGCTGTGGGAAATACTCTACTTTGCTTGAGGAGCCAGTGCTACACGGTGGCTTCACTGCAACGTTTGTGTCGGCCAGCACCTGCCTTTGATCTATCAACTATGCAGTCCAGAGCTTTGCACCAGCTGATGCTCCCTTACCCGCCTCTCAATTGAAACTGACGTATCTTCGCGCCGAGCTGTGTAGTCGGCGCAAGCCACTTATCTTCTTAGGCCTTGTCGCAGGCTTGTGGGGGACCAGCCTTTGAGGAGCCATATGATCAGGAAAGAACTACTGTGCATGCCTCCCACTCTTTGCTCCCATGCGTCTCAACTTCACGGCTAAAGACATCGGACACTCAGACCTCGTTGATGATACAACGAATCAACTCCAGTATACTGTGCGCACCAATGTGGACGGCAAGATGAAGACCATCAGGCGGCCTACCAAGGAGCCACCGTCCGACGGCCCCGACCATCGTGGCCTCTTTATCGCGCGTTTCCATCTTCATGTCATCACGTCCGACAAAGTAGAGCTTCAGGAGGATGAACAGCTCAAAGTCAGAGAGTGGATGCAGGAGGAGGGCAATAAGTAGGTTACTTCTTCGTCGAGTCTCGGAGCGACTCTGATCTTCCATCCAGGAGGACCTTCACCGCTGGGTCTGGAAAGAAGTACGCCTGGTCCTCTCGGCAACATGGAGACGCCATAGTGAGCTGAACCATCGCACCCCTTGGCTCGTAATGCCTGATGATGTGTTACAAGCTCCAAGACGAAAACGACAAACAAGTGGCATATCTGTACGATCGCTCATCGGGTCTGTTCGGTGGGGAAGAGCGCTCGAGAGCTGCTCTTGAGGTCGACGACAATGTCAAGGACATATTGGACGACATCGTCGTCAGCTGCCTATACTTCAAGCTCGCGGGCCAGCATACTGGCATCTTCGGTACCTCCATGGGTAGATATCATCAATATTATCATCGTATCTGGAAGAGAACTCATTCCATCTAAGGTAACGGGCTTGCAAACGCGATTGCCTATGGAACACCGCTGTCATTCTGATTTAGGACCCCATCATATTCCGAATGGAATATCATACGCTTGAGACTTCAGCATTGCGATCCCTATACTGTTGTGCTCTATACTTGAATCTGTACCCTGAGACATCATAGGTACTTGATGAGCCACTCGACCGCGTTTTCGAATGCACTCTCCTTCGCCGCCTTCACCACAGGATCAGCCAAATCGCCGCGACTGGCAAAGCCGTGAGTTGCGCCCGCGAAGTACGCTCGCTTGTATCCAGGCGCGAAGCCGTTGAGCGCCTCATCCGCCCCGGTCTGCATCTCAGCACCGAACATCTCGTCGTGCTCGCATGTATTGAGTAGCAGCGGCGCGTCAGCCTCGTTTGCGTAACGTGTGAGGTCAGCCGGTGAGAGGAGCGCAGGATGGGATACCACGGCAGCGGTAATTTCATGGGCGAAGGCGAGATCAAAGGCGAGTCGCCCTCCGTAGCAGTAACCCGCTGCTGCGAACTTTGTGACGCCTTGCGCGCGCAAAGCGGCCATGACCGCTCGAACTCGTTCGAGTGTACTAGCAGGCGCGTGCTTGGGGAACCATGCCTTCAGGTCCCAAGCGGTACCCTACAGAGGTGGTCAGTGTCTCTATGCGAAGTGTTGCAAGGACATGCATACGTCAGGGTATACTCTGCCTAACGGCGCCGCGTCATCCGCGAATAGGTCGGGCGCGTAGGTTTGGAAGCCGTTGCGAGCGTACGAGTCTGCGAGGAGCTATACAGCGAGGTAAGAGAGGTTCAGTTTATAATCTGAGCTATGACGAAAGGAGCTTACACAGTTGTTGGGCAGCTCGATGCCGAATATATCACCCAAGTAGATGACAGCCTTGTCGGCAGCGTAGTCCTTCTTGGGCTTCACGACATAGGTCTTGATACCGCCTATCTCCTCGATGTTACCTGTGAGTTCTGCTCAACGCTTATAACTGAGAAGATCCGAGCGAGATCTGACCCTCGAGTGTGCCCTCGTGGCGAACGCCTATGACATCGCCAAACACGTTGAGCCAAAGCTTCAGGGTTGACCAATAGGAATGTACCTTCGACGCAGTCCTTGCAGAGAGACATTTAGAGTGCAGTGGAGTGTTCGAAGATGTGCTGAGAGGTCCGAGGGGATGAAGTTCTGACGACTCGATAGCAGTCTTTGGCTTCCCTATATAATGTCGGTCTCTCCACCCGCTCGGAAGATCACTGAACTGCGTATCTTCGACCCGGAATGAATTACAGACGCAGGACGCTGTTGAAAGTGTTGCGAGTGGATTCGTAGCCTCGTGTGGATGCGCCGGACCGATCGCCGGCTTGCCCCACATCGCGTTCCGTGCCATTGTCTGCTGAACATCCACTTACCGCCGCAACCTCTTCACCATACAACATGAAGAACATGTGTTCCTTGTGGACTCCCAGAACAGTATTTGATGCGGGCTCAGTGGGTCGGATGCGAGCCCTCGCACGGCTGATCCGACCTTGATCCAAGAATACTGTTCACTGCATAGTACGCCTCAACTTGAGAATCCCGGCCAACTTAAACAGCTGGGCTCTTGTCATCACCTTGATTCGTGCACGTAAAATTGATGACAGATGTCAATACTCAGCCTAAGTATCGCTGATATCTATTACGCTGTGACGGAGTGCTGGAGTTTATTTCTCCCTTTACACAAGCCCTGACGCACCAAGGCCTCTAAGCGCCACATTACCTAGTATCAATGCATACTTTTCTCTTCAGCATGCCCAAGTTATGGAAGCTCACCTGAAGGTTTCCGCTTACTCCTCAGTTTCATCGTACTCGGACTTCATATCAGGATTCAGGACTCTTGGGGCTCAGTGATGTTTGCGAGAAAAAGAAGAGTAATCCTTGTCCGAATCGGACGACTTTCTGAAAACCTACGACGGACGTACTTTGAAAAGTATACAGCTACTAAAAGCCTCCGGGTAGCGTAGGGAATCACGAAGTTGAATGTTTTCTCGACGATTCAAAAAGTGAACCCTACCCGGATCGAACGGATGACCTTCTGGAGTCTCCAGGACAGACTCAAAGCGCCTGTTCTACTGGAATCAGATATTCTACCACTGAACTAAGGGTTCATACTTTCAACATCACTTATATAGTATATATAAAGTTACCCCATCACACAGCAACGCCCCTGTCGTTCGAATTCACCAACCCCTTCCTCCTGTAAACGTAGGTAGCACAAACAAGAACCATCGCCAACCTCCCGCTGAGCCGAAAGCTCATCAGGTTGGCCTTGATATGTTCAAAACTATACTCAACTCGAATAGACGTAGATAAGGGAGCTTGAAGAAAATGATTCCGAGTCTGAGGTACGAGGACAACGCTCTGCGCGCGTTCAATACCTCTATAGATATAACAGAAGTCCGTTGTTTCATATTCCTTTCCTTACATGATCTGGGTGTTCTATGCGAAGCGAGACGGTAGAGTGACATAAATATCCGTCAATCCATCGAGCCCAGTGACTAGTAAAGGGAAACCCCATTATAAAGTAATACAGACATCATCGTGCAACATCCAAGCAGACCCAAATGACTCAACGTCCGTTAATCAGACCCAGCCTACTAAAGCGTAAACTCGACAACCTGTCCACTGAACTGGAACGTGGAGTTGTTGACCGACCCGCCGCGGGTAGTCACGTAGGCGGTCGTGTTGTCCAGAGCGAGCGTAACGGACGTCGGCCCGATGATGACGTTCGAGTTGTCACCGCCGAGGACGATGGTTTGAGTGCCGTCCGGCGCGATGCTGGCGACAGCAGAGTTGGCCTGAGCAATGTACGCGACACCAGTGGCCTTGTCAATGACAAAGTCATCCCAGTCGGAGGCCGTGTCGTTGAGCGTAGCGATGATCTCGACCTCGCCATCACCATCAGGGTATCCATCGTCCGTGATCGCGACGCGTCCGAACGTCGCGCGCGCGGTGTTGGTGAAGTAGACGGAGCCGTTGAAGATCTTCAGCCCGTTGATGCCGATGGGGACCGTCGCGTTCTCGGTAGCGTTGAACGCGTCGGAAGTGAGTATGTTCGCGACGGCGCCAGTATCCGCGTCTACGCGCCAGATGGATGCGACGCGCGAGTCGGCCGCGAGGATGACATTCGGGAACGACGGGAGGGAGTCCACGCCGTTGAGCATGACAGCGTCAGGTAGCGTAGCGGCAATGCCGACGGTGACGTTCGCGCTGCCCCTGGTGAACTCGACTGTGTAGACGGTCTCGTTGTCGTACTCGAACGAGCCGCGAACGCCGCCAATCACGGCGTACTTGTCCGTGCCGATGGCCGCGATGCCGGTAAGGGCAGTAGCACCGGGCATAACCGCGACAAGCTCGGCCTGGGGGTTGGACGAAGCCGGGTCGAGCTGGTAGAGGCTGCCATTGGCGAAGGTGCTGAGGAGCAGGTTGCCATCAGGGCGCAAGTGACTGTTCTCGATGTCAACGTAGGTGGTAAAGTTGAAGAGCTGCTTGACGGTCGATGCGGCCAGAGCAGGGCTTCCGAAGAGAGCGAGACGAAGGAGTGTGCGGTGCATGGACATGGTTCAGGTATGCGGGTAATGAGAAGGCGAAGTCAAGCAAGAAGCAGAGCTGCGCTCATATAGGCAGTATCCAGACCGGAAGGAAGCAACAGACACAGCATGGAGGACACCTGGGCAACATGACTGTCAGCGTCAAGCGTCATCTAGAGCCGCATTTCTCAGACAAGCCGACGTTCGGGCGAGTCGCAATGCGCTTTGCGCAGCAACCGTTGAAGCTGCCGAAGAGCGGTCCACGAAGCACGTTTTGCATCAGCAAAGCCGCAGCGCAAGAAGCTGATGCTAGCCTGCGCGAGTGCCTGATTGTTCGTGATAAATATACTGCGCCGGGTCGACGGAGAGTTGCTGAGGTGGAAGCTGCGCCGGGAGAACGAGGTGAACTGGTAGTTGACGTAAGTACTTGGCACTCGTATGTTTTTCAATCGTACTCAAGTTTGCGTGCAACTACGAGGTCCACAGTAGTGCGCTGACCAGATCTTCCATGAAAAGGCAAGGAGGGGCAACAGCCTGAGCGAGGTCCTGCGGGTGATGGGCCGAGTGGACGCAGGCAGCTGCGGTTCATCGTATGAGCAAAGCCATCTGTGAAGACGCCCAGGAGCTCGAGATGCGCAGATGTATGTGAGCGGTCGTCTATAAGCATCGTATGCCTAGTCCGCTATTCAGCCACTTCAGCTGCTTATGCACATTGTTATTGTTGAATACTTACACAGTCTCGGTCGGCTGCCGTGCGTGTGGAGAGATCTGGGTAGATCCTCTTGAAAACCAATGTTTTGTCGACGATCACGATACCCTATGGCAGACCGAAAAAGGGGAGGTAAGGGAACACAGTAAGAGGAAGCGCACACAGTTCTGTTAGACAGGAGTGTCATCCCGCTCTCGTGCAGCCGGACTTCACGGACTCTATGTCCCCAAGCAGAGCCCCGCCCTAGGGTTTAACATCCAGATATAGAGCGAGCAAGTGCGCAGCTCGCGATGATCGTTGCGTCGACCCACGGTGAGTACTTGAGTCGTCGTAAGCCGTGCGTCGTGGGTGCTGAGAGTATAAAGCCGCGCGTGACGTGGACCGCCGACTTGTGCAGGGCTGTTTGGGTTCTTGCAAGGTTGCTGCACCAAGTTCGAGATATTTGGGTGCGAAGATGTAGACGTTGGAAGGTGCATGTCCTGTTCATCTAGTAGAGGTGACGGAGAGAATCGCAGTCGGGAGCGGGGCAAAGGGATGAAGTGCGCTGGTCGAGCCTGCGTAGAAGGGTTTATCGCATTCAGTCAAAACCAAGTTGAGCTAGCTGACGCGGACACGCGTAGAAATTTAGACGAGGCCGCTCTCGACGTGGACGCATTGCGCCGCTCGGCGAACAGCTCCTTCCCGCCTTCAAAACAGTCGCCCAACTTCCTCCCTGCGCCCCTCTTGCAGCTTCCACAAATATGTCGCGTAAATCTGCGGCGCTCGGATCGATAGGCGAGCACAACACAAAGGGGTAAGTTGATACATGTCTATTCTGATCATAGTCGCTGCACAGCTCCAAGGCGTGTTAGATAGGAACGTGGTGTCCACTCCGATTGCGCGTGCCGACATGTACAACTCTTCCTGTCCCCACCATCACCTTCCTCGCTGCCGCTGTCTTCATTTCGCCAAACATCTTGCCCTGGACCGTTGTGTTCAAGGATATGAGGCCAAGATGAAGTAGGGTGTAAGATATGCAGGGTATTCGATCGGCAAGCACGTCCGCATTGGCTCTGAGTCTCCGCGCTATGCGCTGTACACGCCTGCGCCACGCCCCAAGGTTGCGATGAATTGCAAGACTCGTAGCTGCTTTCTATTACTTGCCGCCCCTCTTCATTGTCGGTTTACCTCATACTTATCCAATGACAAAAGATGTCGCTCACACGCACCCCGTTATAAGCACGAATGCAGAGCACTGAAGAACTGATTGCCTTATTAGTGGATCACCGTGAGTGTCCGTGGAAACTGCACGCGATTCTTCAAAACTCGGATAAGGTTTTGACACCACATGTACACCTCAATGCGTATGTACGCTCTCGGCAGTTCTGTGTAATACTTTGACTGCAATACCTGCGCTGCAACTTGAATGTGGTGGCACAGACTTCTCTGACGATGCGCATCCAGTGCGCCACTGATATAGTGGGTTGAGAAATCAGCATTCGGTGCATAGTATGGCCAGCATATGTGATATATGGTATCAGTTTACTACATCCACCCTCTAGGGGCTTTCACAACAACAGGAAGCGTCATTGCATCCCATATTTGGGGCACTGAATGTGGCTTACGCGAAAAGCTCATCCCGCGATTGCGTATTCCACGCTCAACAACTCGGACAGGCTCCTGCGCGAGACTGGAAAGGTCGGCGTGATGTGACGAGACGAAGATGCGCAGAAAGCCGACGGCCGTGTCCGTGTGGTGCGGGAGCCGAAACACAAATGGATCCGCTCCTGCATCTCCATAATTCAATGGCATCGCCCAGTTCATGTCTGCGCGTAACGGCGGCGTGGTGTAGCGACTTTCAACTGGAGGTCCATAATATTTCTCTAAGGTAAGAGGTACGGCAGTAAGCAACGTGGAACCTCATCGGACATGAACTTATGTGCGGTGCTTACCGATCTCCAGCGTGTTGCAATTGAAGTAGAAAAGCCACACGAAAAGGCCAAAACCTCCCGGTGGCGACCGATTGCGAACGTCGATACCGTAGAGAGCAGGGTGCTCTTCGTCTGGTCGAGTCACCTCCGGATAAAAAATGTCGGTGCCACACCGTGGGTCGACTGGGATCGGTTGGACGGGTATAGTGATTGGGATCGTGGTGTGCTGACTATAGTCGACGCCCGTCTCAAGCTTCCAGATACGCACGTCGAGTGCATTGCGTAGTGCTGGAACATCTGGTAAAGAGTTGAGATGGTGAAAGAAATGGGCAGCAGAGCGCAGAGCAGATCGGAGCGATTCTAGATCACGCCGCACTGATCCCTCCAATCGATCTAGCCCCAGCTGGCGAATGCGCTGGTCCAGGATGCCGAACCCAACGGACTGTGCTCCATCTGGGAAAACGGAAAGCGTCGCTGTCTCCGAGGACGAGACGACCACCGTCACCGAATGTAAGCCGTGTCCCGTTGAAGAGAGCTCGCGGACCTCCTTCTCTATAGCCCCTTTCACAAGCTCGTGCAGCTTTGGGTGTTTGACGACGTCAACGTGGACACGAAATGCGACTAAACTCGCGACACGGCTCAGAGCTGCGACTGCATTGGGCGCAGTCTCGAGGACACCGTCGAGAATGACGTCCGAGCGATCGAAGGGCAACATGTGGCTTGTCGACGACCCCACGGAGTGAACGACTAGTTTGCCAAAAGGCTCGGCCCTCGACGCATACGCCTCCCGGTCGTTGTACAGGGCAAATACATCCCCTTGGCCAACGCCTTGGATCTGACCTGCGTGTAAGATGTACGAACCCCGGGATCTGTCGATACTGTAACAGTGGGGATCAAGGGGTAGCACGACATTCGCGTCGAACAGTAGACGCTTGTCCAGATCATGTCCCTCGCATTGG